AAAATTGTGTAGCAAGAGGCAAAACCGTAAGATTAAAAAAAGGTCTTTGGGCCATACACAGGAGATAAAAGAAAACAAAGTAAACCTTTACCTTCAGATAAACAATATTTGGGTTAATGCCTTTAATTTTGGGCCATCCACAAGACTCTGTATTTGGGTCCTTATGCAAATCTTCTGAAAATTAAAATTTTAAAAACATAAATACTCACAGTGGTAAAACGAACAAAAGGTAAACATGGGACAGAAGTAGCAACACCCGTGAAAATCAAATGATAAAAAACAAAAAATAATAATTGTATCTTATTAACCGAGCAAGAGGACCTTATTGAGAGGATACTGGCTAGAGGTATTGAGAGTTTGAAACAAGACTTGCAAGGTCAATACAATAAAACTAAGGGCCGATATTTTCCAGGGCAGTCTTGAACAAATTTAGTTACAAAAGAGATTTAATACAAAATTAGAATCCCATGATCGTGGACTACAAAAACACTTTTAACTTCAATAGCATAGTTCTCACTGAATGCTAACTTGGCATTTACTTGAATCTGACGTCAAGAAAGAGAAAAAGAATCTCTGAAATGTAACTTATTTCTTTTAGAAACATAAACCATAAGTCAACAAGAAAGGCTTCAAGAATAGTTTTTGCAAATAAATGCAAAGATGTTGATATGTACGATAAGAACATTGTTCTTGAATGAGATTGAAAGTACTATTCCCACCTGCCACAGAATCGCTGCAATTTTCTGATATTCCACTAGAGGAGCCTTCAGACACTTCATCAGCATTTTCCTGTAACAGAAAAGAAAAACACTTGAATCACACCTGGATATGTTTCTGGCTAGTAGGACCAGATCCAACGATTACAGCAACTATCAAACTCTGTAGGAAAGTCTATACCACATACCCATTAGGTTTGTTAAATTGCATTCATTTTCTAAACATAGGAGCATGATGTTGCAAATCACCATTCAGAAGTATTTGTGTATTAGCATTTTGAGATTACCTCATCGTTTAAACTACACTGTTCTGCTGAAGTGGCATCCCTTGCAACAATATTCGCTGTTAAAAGTGGGCCTCCCTTAGCACAGTTTTCACACTCAGTTCTGTTTACCTGGTGAACTGGCAATGTATAGAAACAACAATGAGAAACTGCAACCATTTACATAACCTTTACAATCAAGATAACA